ATTTATAAATTAATTTTCCTTAGCCTGCAACATCAACAGACAAAATTTCAACATCACCCAAAAAAAAATCATTTTCAACTCCTAAAAATGAAGATCAATCAAAAGGTACTTCTTCTATCTCTGCTACACCAACACATCGTAGGCAAATTCGTGTACGTCGTGGTCGACGATTATTTAGACGAAGAGCTTCTTCTAATGAACTTAAAAGCAAACAGAGAACGAATGATGGAGACAGTGAATGCACAAACCAAGATGAATTGTTACTTAGAATTAACCAAAAATGGTCAGATATGATAGCTCAAGGTAAAGCAGCATTGACCAGTACTGTTGAGGTAACTGAAGTTGAAATGATGCTCATAGAAGAAAGAGAACGTGAAGAAAGAATAATGAGAGAACTTGGACTTCAAACACCTGTTGGACGTCATAACAGAAGATTTACTAATTCATCATCTTCGGGTTATGACTCTTTGTCTGATTCTAGCAGTTATTCTGCATCAGAAACATCTTATTGTGAATATGGTTATGGTTCTAATAATAGGTTTGCCTCATCAACAGGATATGACCCTCCTTTAAGATATGGGTCAACAGCTCATTATTATTCACCCATAACTTATGGTTCACCTGGAATATATTCTTCATCTGTAGGTTATAACAATAGTAACAACAATAACAATCATCGTCATCATCATAATCATCATTCATTTGAAGGTTATAACATGTTAGGCAGTAAATCTTCGAATGAATTTTCCAGTCCAATCCCAAGTAGATACCATGAAATACCACCATCACAAATACAGTCAATACAATCAATCCCACAATTTGCTTATAATAATTTGATTTCAAATAGATATAATGTTGCTTTATCAACTGGTTATGCTAACTCGCCATTACCATTGCCATCACAATCAGCATCATCATCATCAATGGGAAATTTTGTTCATAACCAAGTAGGAGGAGGAGATTTTGGATTGAGTTCCGGTTGCTTTATGAATAGATATAGAGCAAAGTTACGCTTTTGTTTTGCATTTTCTAAATTTTGGATATTATTGTTGGTATTATTATTATTGCTATTGCGATTATTATTAATATTTTCAACGCTACTTTTTTTATTATTATTTTTATTACTATTACTATTACTGAATTTCAAATTTTCTTTAGTCGACATCATATTCGTTGAATTATTTTTTGTTTTGTGTGGGAAGTTGTTGAATCGAGAATCAAAAAAATAGATGTCACGAGGGACAAAATTATTATCATTATTATTATTATTATTATTATCATTTATTGGGACATTTCCTAGGACGGTCTAACGAGAATGTCGCACGCTAAGATGTCGTATGCTTTATTGATAGATAATAATAATACCCCAAAAATGTTTGTACAAACGTGCGCGAATCCAAAAATATCTATGTTATAAAATTTTCTTTTTCAAGATAAAATAGTAAAAATATGGCTAATAAAAGAAATGTAGGCTATAATCGGTTTATAACTCGTCTTATTTTATACTTACATATTCTTAATACTATATGATATAATCAAAAATGAAAAAATGAAAAACTTTTAAGATGAAAAAAATGTCGAAAAAAAGATTTCAGAAATTTCATCTCTTTTTCTTTTGCAATGTCCTGCGACTAGTAATGAATGATACTAATAATGATAATAATAATCCTTATAATAACATTTGTCTATGGTTAAACGAATCATTGTTACGCGTACTACTTATGTATCTAATAATAGCATTATGAGATCTATGGTTAAACGAATTGTTGTTACGCGTACTATTAATGATAATTCTTATTGTATATAATAATACCCTTGTGAGATCTACGGTTAAACGAATTGTTGTTGCACGTACTTATTAATGATAATTATTATTGTATATAATAATACCATTGTGAGATCTATGGTTAAACGAATCATTGCTACGCGTATTACTTATTTATATAATAATAACATTGTGAGATCTATGGTTAAACGAATTGTTGTTACGCGTACTGCTTATTGTATATAATAATACCATTGTGAGATCTACGGTTGAACGAATTGTTGTTACGCGTACTATTAATGATAATTCTTATTGTATATATATAGAATAAACATTACAATTATAAAGTCTACATTAAAAAATTTTCCTGATGTTGCTTGTGTGTTGAGTAATTGCTTCATAAAATTCAACGTTTTCTTTTTTGATTAGATTATATAGTATTAAAAATATGTAAATATAAAAATAAAATGAGTTATTATAACCTGGCTATAACCTACATTCCTTTTTCTAGTCATATTTTTATTCTTTTACAACCTGATGCTCTTATATATTGAAGAAGAAATTTCAAAAAAAAAATTTATATTAATGAATATCTTGGGGATAATGAGAAGTTGGGGTTTCTTTTTGGCGGCATATTTGTACAGACAATTTTTTGTTTTCGGGGGTGTTTTGTTTTCCATTTTTTCAATTTTATTAATAAAACATATAAAATTAATAT